TACCCTTACTGTAATTAAAAAACATAACTATCTAATAAAACGTTCCCCGGCCAAAGAGGTCACCTTAATACCGAAAAAAAAAAATAATAATAAAAATGAATCTTGCCAAAGAATAGGAATCGAATTTTAATTTAATTTTTTAAACCCAAATTTTTTGTTTTTGACAATAAACAAAAATAATTAGAAATAAATAAATACCTTTGGTTGAACAAAAATTGATCTTGTCAAAGAATAGGAATCGAAATTTAATTCAATTTTTTAAACCTGAATTTTTTGTCTTTAACAAGAAACAAAAAATAATTAGAATAAATAAATGCATTTATTGGAACAAAAATGGATCTTACCAAGATTAGAATTCAAAATTTATACAATTTTTTAAATCTGAATTTTCGTCAAAAAAGAATAAAGGCTTCATTTGAGCAAAATAGATCTTGCCAAATAATGTGAATTGAAATTTAAGTGCAACAAGTATACATGTCAATATTTAGTCTTGTTGAAATACTGTCTTCCTTCTATATAGTAATCTCTTATATAATTATATTATAGTAAAACCCTTTTAATCACGCCAAGCCCTGTAACACTTTACTAATAAACTTATAAAAAATACTTCTTTAAGCACACCATAGTAAAAACCTTTATACAATCACACAATTTGCATGATACGGACTGCATGATTATTCTTTAAACCGTCTAGCAGGCAAATTTGCCCACTAAAAATTTTTTTATTTTTTTTTATGTAATTGCACCCAATTTTACTAAGCTTGTCCTCTACATTATTAAGCTAAAATTAGAGTTTGCTGTACAACCAATTAACATTCAATTTTACAGCCCTCTAATGCATTATGATGCAATGTTTAAAGTCCTTACATGATCGCCATTGGATTGCAATCGCCACACATAAAATCAAAAAAAAAAAAAAACTTATCACTATGTCTAAGACTTTGCCCTTTACAAATTTGTTGTTTGCAAGTTCGTCATCATCTCTTTTTAAAAATGTAGATATGACCGATGATAACGAATATGTACCAATTTCAACATATCGGCAATATTTTTTAAACGACTTGGAGGATTCAGATAGTGAGAATGAGAGCGAAAATGCTGCAAACACAAGTGTCACCAAAAGAAAACGTAAACAAGCCCTCCAACTACCACCACCACCTAACTTTAAACCATTAGTTCATTCAAGTCCTTTGCGTCGTGCGAGTGTTTGGTTGCCACCACATGTTGAAGTTGGTGTTTCCAAACCGATTAATTATTTTTTGCTTTTTTTTTCTCTATCCATAATGGATATGATAGTTGTAAATACAAATGAATATACTTCAATAAAAGAAGCAGGAGTTACTAGTAGACAATGGAAAGATATAACCCACAATGAGCTCCTTGTTTGAGTTGCCTTGGTGATTTATCAGGGACTTTTTAAGTTGCTGTCCCGTAACCAATATTGGAACGAAGATCCAAGGCTCCCGGTTCATCAAATTTCAAAGCAAATGGTATTCAAACGCTTTGAAGCAATAAAGAGGTTTCTTCATGTCTCTGCCCCCACATCTACATTAAAGAATTATTTTGATAAAGTGGAACTATTACTTTCCCACGTTCACGAGGCTTCGAAACGGTACTACACACCGGGATCAAATGTTTCAGTAGATAAAATAATGATCTGATTTTCAGGAAAAAGTGTTTATACAGTACAAATAAAAAATAAGCCAGTTCCGGAAGGCTTTAAGATTTTTTCTTTGTGTGAATCTGGATACACATATACTTTTCTACCAACATCGCGTATTGCCCCAAGTAATGTGAAAAAGGTAAATGGTCTTGTAAAGTTGGGTCTCAGGTTCTTCATTTTGTTGAACAACTTCCATACCGACAATATCCTTACAATATATACATAGACAATTATTTTACTGCCATTTCTCTCTTTCAGCATCTTCGGCAAATCAATATTGAAGCCTGTGGAACTGTTAGAAAAATGGCAGCTGGATTTCCAAAAGAATTAAAAGTGGATAAAGGTACTAAATTGGATTGGAACATCTATTCTGGCATTGAAGTAAATGGAGTGTTGGCTATTTTCTGGCAAGACAATGGGCCAGTCATGATGCTATCAACCATTCACAGTCTTGTGGGTGAAGAATGGAAAATCGCAAGAGAAAGGCGGCGACCAAGAGAAACAAGTACCAATGCAGCAAAGGTTCGAGCAGTATTTGGCTCTGAGCCAAAAAAAAAATTAAAAATACCAAAATAATCGATGATTACAATCATAGCATGAACAGTGTGGATGTTGCTGACCAACTGCGATCCTATTACGATACTCAGCAAACTGCGCATCATAATTGGATGACTTTTTTTTTTGGCTATTAGACACCGCCATTATTAATGCATACTTAATTGCTAAAATTTTAAGATCAACGCAAGAACATAAAGAGTTCCATAATGAACTTGTTTGGGGTCTTATTGAACTTGCAAATGATCCAGGTGAACCTCAATTAAGAAATAGTTCAAATTGAGAAGTAAAAAGACCCAAAGTTACAAAAAACTTTAAACTCTCTGATTAACGGTTGGTGCCTGAAAACCACTTGGCTGTATGGAAGGACCGACGAGAAGCATGCCAGTGGTGTGCTTGGCTAGCAAGTAGGAATAAATTGGATATGGATCACAAAACACCACACCAAAGCCAGGTTTGGTGTTAAGTATGCAATGTGCCTCTTTGTTGTAATAAAGCATGAAATTGTTTTCTTGGATTTCACCTTGAAAACTAAAATATCAATGGGTGGTGGGTGGGTGAAGCAGCCTTAAGGGCCAAAGCTAGCATTAGCTAGGTGGGTGGGTGGTGAAACGGCTTTAAGAGCCAGAGCTATATTATGTGAGTAGATAATAAAATAGGCCAGAATTACATTGGGTAAGTGGGTAGTTAGGCGGTTGGGTGTGTGAAGCAGCAATGAGCGAAGTAGCTAAAGACAGATAAAAATTTTTCGAAAAAAAAAATTTTTTTTATTTATTTAAGTGCTTTAAATTATGCATATTGCATATTTTTAATTTATCAATTTGATTAATTTATTATGATATTGTGATATCGCTAAATATCAAATGATCGAACATATTAATTTTGATAGACAAAATCCTAAAAAATTAGCAATCTTAAAAATTCGATTAGTATCATCTGTATCTCGATTTTAAATAATATTAATGCAAAATTTAAAGATCATGACTGCAGCATCGATTTTGCTTAAGCATGTAGTACTTAAATTGTCTTGGAAGACCCAAAAATTTTGATTACCAAAAAAAATTCGTGATAATCGATCCTCATGTTTCGTGCAACCCGAACTTGTGTCATTTGTTGTTGTTACATAATATGTGCCATGTTCGGATTTTTTAGTTTAACCATGTCATCCGAGCCTTTGGGCGTTATTCTAGCCTATTTTAGTAAAGATTCACATAAAATTTTTTTTTACCCTTCGAAATTTTTTTTAATAATTTTAGCAGGCAAATTTGCCTGCTAAAACGGGACGGTTTAAAGAATAACAAAATAATAATAATAATAAAAATAATAATAAAAAAAAAATAAAATAAACTAATAAAAAAAAATTATAGAGTGAGGGCACCCGGGGCCACTTACAATTCTCCTGGACTCAGTTGCAAGTATCATGAGCAATTTCACTCTAACAACCACTTGTAGTTAGCAGCTGATAATTTGTGTACTTTGTTAATAGTGGTCCAATTGGTGCAATACATATGACTCACACCTAAGGGCACAAAGAGCTAGTAGAGTCGAAGAGAGGCATCAATGAAATGACGAGGTATTTCTTGCCGTAAATTAGTAATTTGCCTTTGGGGTGCTTTTTAAGGAGCTCACCCAAATAGAAAGCATGGACCAAGCTTTCTATCCTTTCTTTCTCATCTAGAGCAAGAACAATCTGGTCATAGGCTACAACAGCCTTATTGACGAACCTTTGCTCTTCGTAATAGGGGCAGGGAGTAGGGTCAATGGGAATGACGTTGAGGGTACTGAGGTCAATATATATTTGTACAGCAGCGATAGAGGGCATTTTGAGTTTGTTTGTTTTGTCTTGTGTTGCTACAAGTGCTAAATAGTATTCAGTAGCTCTGCTTTTATAGATTTTGCTCTCTATACTCTTTAATTAGTTGCTTATTAACAGGTGCCTCAAGAACTCTTCCTTTCAGGTCACATAGCTTATACACCCCATTCGTGAGGATATCATGCACGTAATATAGGCCTTTCCACTTGGGTGCAAACTTGTGGCTTCGAGTGCTCAATATTCTGGAATTTTGCATAAGGATCTGGTCTCCTATTGAGAAATCAGACGTGGCTTTGATGTGTCGATCATGCCTTCTTTTCTGGTTTTCCTGATTTACCTGTATTGCTTTCTCATGGGCTTCTTGTAGATCACTGTCTATTTCATACATTCTTTGGATGATCGTTTCATTCAACAAGTCCGAAGATTTGCTGGGATATATGAGGAGTTTGGCTTTTCTCCCATATACCAAGAAAAAGTGCATCTCTTGCATGGAGGCTTGTTTCGCGGTTCTATACGCAAATAGTATAGGTGCAATTAATAAATCCCAATCTGTGACATTAATTATCAGTTGTGAAATGGCACTACAAAGCATTTTGTTAAAATGCTCTATGAGCCTATTGGTCTGTGAGTAATACGGGTAGAATAATGGTGTTTGATTGTTAAAGCTACAAGTAATTCATCAATAAGGTGGTTACGAAAATGGGAGCCCTGGTCAGATACTATGGAATGCGGGCACCTGTGTCTGCATATAATTTCTTCATAGATGAACTGGGCCACTTCTTCTGCATTATCTTGTGGAATGGCACGTGCTTCTGGCCACTTTGTCATATAATTGGTAGCTACTACAATGTATCGGTTAGAATGAGGCATAATGGGTAATGGTCGATTATATCAATACCTATTTTGTGGAATGGGGCTTCCACAGGTATTGGATGTAGTAGTTCCCGGGTTTTTCTTTTTAAATACCATTGGCAGCTATCATATGATCTTACATACTCGCATATGTTTTTATACATACTTGGCCAGTAATAGTAGTTGCAGATTTTATTAAACATGATATCTCTACTGAAATGAGCACCCATGGGATGGTCATGCACTAAGGTTAGTATTGAGTTAATTTTCCCTTCTTGTAGTATCTTAAGCAATTTTTTATTTTTATTTCTTCGGTATAAAGTTCTATTTTTAATCTGGAACATGTGGCTTTGCTTTTCTAACTGCTTTCGCCACAATTCATCGAAATACTGCAGATATTGCCTATAACAAAGATAGGTTTTTAAGGCAGCATATTGTTGTGGCTCCATTTTTAATAAATTATCTATGTTGGTTTCTTCAATTTTCTTGTTGCCAGAATACCAACGACCTGGACTGGATTTTAATTTTACGTCGGGTTTGTGCTGATCGTTGTTATTTAGGTTTCTTTATACCGCTAGTTCAGTCTTCTTCAGTTTCGAGTAATTAATTCTCGTTAGTAAGGTATTTTCTGACTTTGTTCTCTGAGGTTTTCCTAATCCAATGCTGTTTTGATAACAATGTCCAACTTTAAGGACATTTTCCTCGATAGTCGATTTTGAAGTACTTTTGCTTTTCTTTTAATAATTTAGGAGTGTTTACTAAAACTTTTTTAATCCTTAACTCTAACTTTCTTTTGTACGATTCCTTGTATAAATCTTGGCATGGGTCTAGCTTGGCCTTGTATGTCTAGGTTAATTCTCTGGACCCTTTTTAGATATGGTTTTAATTCTGCCAAAACTCTGTCTTTGCAGTCTCAACTTCGTTTTGTTAGCAGTACCAATTCTCTATTGGTGCACTTAGATTTCTCGACACATGCATATATATATAAGTCACGTGTCTTGAAGCAGTGGGTATTTTTCTGTAAATTTCGCCTTCGTCTAATATGATATGGGTTCCTTATTACTTCCAAGTCCCTTTTCAGATTATTTTTCTTATTACTTCGGGGTCTCTGATAATAATAGGTAGCTTAAACTTGAATAGGGCCCCAAACTCGCTCTATCTCATCCCGACCAACCATGCTCTATTGTCGGGCCTGTAGAAAGAAGGATATATATAAAAAAAAGAAGAAAATAAAAAAAAATAAAGATAAAAAGAAGAGAAAAAAAAATATAAGTAAATAAATAAAAAAAAGAATTTAGAAGGTCTCATAATTTCGTGGACATCCATGTCAGTATAATCATGTGACGAGAGTTGAAAAAATGTTCTTTGAAGGGAAGTGTATGTAGTTTTTTTTTTTTTTTTTTTTTATATTTTATTTTTTTTATATATGTTTAGTATCTAATATTTTCTTTAGTGATAGTTCTACTTTTTGAATCTCTTTCTTTCACAGTTTATTTTTCTAGCTCTTAATTAATTCTTTGTAAGGAGAATTTTTACCCTTATAAGGAGTCATAGTATTCCCAATCGATATAAGTATTGAGAAGCTGGGTTTGTTCCCAATCTTCTGGGTCAAGAATTTCATTAAGAGTTGCTTCATTTTCCTCTCCCATATTCCACCAATAATAATTGAAATTATGGGTGTCGCAGAAATTGCATCCTATGTTTTTATAATTATTATAATCTTCAAATTCGATCCCTTTTCCAACCTCTTCTCACTTAGGTATATCGATTAAGTAGGTTTCATCGATATCCATGGGTTGAACTTCATTGGCATAAAGGCCACCATTAATAGGTTCTTCGCAATACCCATGAGATGTGGACCAGGCAATTACTCTTTCTGTTTCCATGGTTAGTTCATACAGGAGAGTTTGGTAATACAATTTATGCTCCTAATTTTGAGTAAGTTCTTCTACCCAATCATTTTCTTGTTCTGAATACTCAATGTCACTCATAGTTTCATTATTTTCTTTCCAATCATCACATTTTTCTTTTTTCCAACTACTTAAGTCTTCCATTTCATCAGATCCTTTGGAAGAATATTCTTCTACCATGACTTTGAAGATTTTCACTTCTTCTGCGGCGTTGTTTATTGGGCTTGGGTAAGTTCTATTTTAATTATAGAGGCACCTTCAGTATTCTCCATATCAGCTGCCTTTTGATAGCAACTTGGTGCCTTTTTAAGGTTGGATGATTCCCTTCTATCATCCTAGATAATGCATTGGCATTATTATGCTTGTACCTTGCTTGATAGACTATTATAAAATTATAGGGCTGTAGTCTTAGTATCTATCTAGCCCTTTAACCTTTTTGCTCGGTGGTTTGTAACTATTTAAGTGCGGCATAATCAGTTACAATTATAAAAGATTTGTAACCCAAATAGTGGTGGAAATATTCCACTCCCAAATTATGGCATAACACTCCAATTCAGTAGCAGCATAGTTTCGTTCTGCTCTAGTAAGACCTTTACTAGCATAAGCGATAACGTACTCTTTTCCATCCTCACCTTTCTGGGATAATACAGCCTCTAACCCGGTGCCAGAAGTGTTAGTGTGGATATAGAATGTCTTGAAAAAATCTGGGTAACGTAAAATTGGCACAGTGATTAGATGCATTTTTAGGGTTGTAAAAGCTTCTTCTTGCGCTTTTCCCCAGTCATACTTTTCGCCTTTCTCTAATAGCTTGTGAAGAGGTTTAGCAAGGGTGGAGAATCCTTGAATAAAACGACAATAGTATGAAGCAAGCCTGATGAATCCTCTAAGCTGTCGAAGATTTTTTGGGGTAGAAATTCCTTTACTTTTTCAATTTTTGTTGGGTCTGGTCTAATTCTGTCTTTTCTCACCACATGCCCTAAAAATAAAATATTATTTTTGAACAATTCACATTTCTCCAAGTTAAATTTCAATCTCGTGGCTTCGATTTTTGCAAATATTTTCTGCAGGTGGTCTAAATACTCTTGATATGTCCTTGAGTACACTATAATGATATCTAGATAGACAGCTACAAATTTTCCTATATACTCGCTCAAAATATTGTTCATAGTTCACTGAAATGTAGCCAGAGCATTGTATAATCCAAACAGCATTACGCAAAAAGCATATACCCCCTGTTTGGTTACAAAAGCTGTCTTCTTTTGATCTTCAGGTCTTACTCTAATTTGCCAGTAGCCACTAGCTAAATCGAGGCTTGAAAACCAATTGGCTTTTCTGAACGTTTCAAGTAAATCATTGATTTGAGGTGGGAAGTAGGCGTCTTTTTTAATTATGGTGTTTAACTTTCGATAATCCACACATAACCTAAGCTTTCTGTTTTTCTTAGGTACTATGACCACGGGAGACGTCTAGGAGCTTTTCAATTCATAGATAAGGCCATTATCCAGTAATTTTTTTATTTCCTTATTTAAGAAGTCTTGTTTATCTGGGCTATGCGATATGCGGCTTGCCTAATCAGCCTTGCATTTTCTGTATCTATTTCATGCTATACTTTAGCAGCATAGCCTAACTTATCCAGACTACTAGAGAATAATTCTCTATATTTATCTAGTATAAGTTTGGCTTCTTCTTGCTACTTCTTGGTTAGTGTATTTACTTGGGCTAACTCTAGGATGTCTTTTTCAGTAATCGCATTGGGTTTCTCGATTTCTTCTGTGACAGGAATTTCTTCGATGGCTGTTAAATAGATTGCAGGACTATCTACGCTTTCCTCAGGTTCAATGTAAGTTTTACTTTTTTCTTCATCTGTTATGCTATCAGAGCAGTAACTTTCTACCTTTTCTATTTCTTCTTTCTCAAAATTATTAAAATAGTCGTCATTATTGTGGTTATCCATTTCTTGGGTGATTACTTCTTGATTTTCTTTTGCTTGATAAATAGGTACTTCTATACTTTTACCTAGATATCTTAAAAATAATTTACCTTTGTCAAAGTGGAGCCTGGCCCAGACTTTTTGAAACTAGTCCATTCCTAAGAGCATTACCTCCTCTGGGTTTTCAATGACTTGGAAGGCGGTGGGTACTATCACACTTTCGATAGCCATTTTTACATCTGGTATTTTTTCTAGAGCATGTTCTTTAGTCCCGTTAGCTATGACTACCACAGTATTAGACGGCTCAGTAATTTCTAACTAAGTTTTTTTGCTAATTTTTTTGATATAATACTGACAGCGGCCCCAGAGTCTAATACTGCCAACACTGGATTATTTTTCACTCTAATATAGCATTTTGCCACAGTTGTTCAAGTACTAATTGGTGGCTCGACTAGGTTAGTTTCTTTGGGTGCAGCTATTAGTGGACATCGTAGAGCCTGAGATAGATTTTGCCTTTGCTTAAAGACTTGGAGTAATTGTGCGTAAGTTGCATTGGCTTGTTGGCTCAACAGGTCTTCAGCAATATTATAAGGTGATACCAAATCTATTACTGAATGCTCTCTTCGTCGCTGTGGGCAATTATCATTTTGGAATATTACTGGAATAGGTGTAGGGTCTTGGCTGAGTCCTTCCATCTGGGTGGGTTGACTTTGCTAGTGTAGTTGGGTTGTTTGGGTTTGTTCAGAGGCAACTCTCTTCCTTAACCGTTTATCCCAATTAGGTTTTGCTCGGCATTTAATCGTGTATATTTCTTCTGTAGAATTTGGTTAATATACTTCGCACATGTTAACGTTTTTGGGGTTGATACTAGTTTCAGTTATCGGGGTTGGTGGTGCTCTAGGGTTCGGCCTTTGTTAGAAAAGGCAGTTACGAGCTATGTGGCTTCTCTCTCCACAATTATAGCATGTAATGCCTCTATTTTGGTTTTGTTGGGATGTATTTGGTCTACGTGGGGGTTGGGTTGTGCTGATTTCAGCTCTAGCAGCAAGCATGGTAGTTAACTTTCATAGTTAATAGCCATTTGCTGCATTTTTTGGGCTAAATCGTTAAAAATTTTGCTGGTAGGTGCTTCTTCTTTTCTAACTTTGTAATAATTGCCTACTTTGACTCTTCGGACTGCTAAAATAGCTTTGTCTAATATTTTAGGGTCTTTCAAGGACATTAAGGGTACGGTTGTTCTGTGTAGGCCCTTAGAAATATACCTAATATGTAAGGTGCAGGTATCTGGTGATCTGGATCTACTTTCTTTAGCAACTTTTTAAATTTGTAAATATATTTATCAACTTTTTCATTTTCCTTTTGAGAGAGACTGCTCAGTTCCATTTGCCACTGGTGCTTTCATTCTGGGGTGGAAAAATGTTTAATAAAGAATTGAACAAAACTTTCTTCTGAGTTATCATCATCATCCCAAAAAAGTAAATCTTCCTTGTAGTTGTTGTACCAGCTTGTGGCAATCCCAGAGAGGTGTCCTGACGCAATCTTAATTTTTCACGCCAAAGTCCAGTTATTGGTATCAGTAGCTCTTTCAAAAGCTTCTACCCATTCAACAGGGTCTTTTTCTTCTTCTCTAAAGTTCTTTACATGAGCCCAGTTATTTCACGGCTTTGTGGTAGCACATTGTGTAGGGCAACTTTGGGCAATCTCTCTAAGCAAATTTTGCGCCTGGTTTTGATTGACTGGTTCGTCATGGTAGGCCAGCGGGTTTTTGTGGACGCCGAGCCTATCTCCGTCTACAGTTCTATTATCCTCAAAATTATCTAGGTCCGACATTTTTGATAAGAATAAGTTTTAGTTTTTGGTATATTTAAGGAAGGTTTTGTGTGTGTTGGGGTGTAGTAAGAATCTCATAGTCACCACCAAATTGTGAGCGTGATAAATAATCCGGAGTCTGGAAAATATGTATGATACGAATATAAATCAACACTAAAACTAATCTAACCAATACTCTAAAACAAACTAAACTAACAAGTAGAACAAGGTCAAGGCTCTAAATTGGTCAGCTTCGATAGAAGTGTGGTAGATTTGGTCCGGGCTTTCAGAGCTTAGGACTTGTAGTATTTAATGCCAGTTTCAAATAAGTTTTCTTTCACACTGAATTATAATCTTTCTTTTTTTTTACTATAGTTACTTAAAACTAACACTTCCACAGTATTTCTTCTATTTCGTATTCACTGCTTATTTTAGTCACAGGTTTCTAGATCACGATTACTGCATTGATCAGCAATTGAATATTCTATTTGGATCTGGGTTCAATTACTAACAGTTGTCAGGACTCGGATCTTCAATTCGAACCTATGTAGATCACCCACAAAAAATTTTCCGATCACATGATTAAGCCACGTTACAGTAGTACAGTAGTAAACATAATACGAACATTAATACTAACGTTAATACGAACTTTAATACTAACGTTAATACGAACGTTAATACTAACGTTAATACTAACGTTAATACGAACGTTAATACTAACGTTAATACGAACGTTAATACTAACGTTAATACTAACGTTAATACGAACGTTAATACTAACGTTAATACGAACGTTAATACTAACGTTAATACTAACGTTAATACGAACGTTAATACTAACGTTAATACGAACGTTAATACTAACGTTAATACTAACGTTAATACGAACGTTAATACTAACGTTAAT